TAACCAGATTCACCTTAGCTTTGTTACTCTTCGTTTATAATTAGTAAAAGTACACTTGATTTCAAACGAATGGAGTTGAGTGGCTTATTTCCTGATTACTAAATGAAGTCGCAGCTGACACTGCCAGCTTTCTAGTTTCCCAAAGCCAGTGTCCCTGGAATGGGAGTTCCCAAGGACCTGAGGAGAAAGTCCGGAGTGAGCAAGAGGTGCCAGGCTCATCCCACTTCCATATGGTCACTTGTCCACACAGCATCAGACTTGAAGGCCACTGTTGGCTGTCGGGGAAAATGGCTTTCATTTTGGAGAGCTAAGCATGACTATCCTAGCTATGGGTTTAGGGTTGAGTTGAAGACAACACCATGGGGACATGGCAGAAAAGAAATTGCCAGGTGCAGGCATGGGAAGTTTTTACATATATTGCTCAAGTCTGGAGAAAGTACTTGTTAAGAATACACTGAAAATGATTTATGAGCCATTGCTGAGTCATTCGAAGTGCTAGAAATACTTGTGTCATAAACAGTGTGACATATGCCAGCATGTACTATAGAGGATTAATGCCATAATTTAAAGAGCAGGGATGGGTGATTCAATTTTATCAATGTCAGCTCAGAACAATACCTTAGAGGCCTGCCTTGTTTTCATAGAATGAACAAGTTTTGGAATGTTCTGAAGATCAAAATTTCTGCATTCCACACAGGGGCAGAAGTGGAGTCAAAAAGGTAAGATGAGGGATGGGGCTCTTCAATCAGAGCCCTACCCACTTTTTGTGACTGTGGTGTGCTTCCAAAGGTATAATTTTTCATTGTATCTAATTTTCCCTCAGACCACCTAACATTTTTCTATAGCAGATATCTTACAATTGAAATTTTTAAGGAGATAATCCCGATCCACATAAAATCCACTAATGCTTTTGATCTATGTTATCTTTTTCACAATAACACAAGGTCCTATTTCTATCATACTAGGACTTCAAGGAAAGCCTTTTCATATATATATTCTATGTCATCCTATATCATTTAATCTGTGGTTATTTAATATATATATTAATAAATAATGCTTTAAGAATTATGAATGTGTCAACTGTTCTGGAGGGTAACTCGGTGAGCAAGGACTGAGGCGAGACAGTATTGCTAACAACAATCCCTTTATTGGGATAACAGATAACCAGTAACTCAAAATCTATCAGTAAAGGCAAATGGCACTCCCCAAATCTCTTCTTAGAACATGGTGGCTTGTATTCTTCACGGCACAATCACCTTATTCTGAAAAAGCATCTGGGAGAAATTGAACTACATCCCCAGGACTTCTTAAAGAAAGTTTATTATGGCTGAGTTGGAATAGTGTGCTAAGCCAAATGATGCTTTTATCATCGTTTGTTAAATAACTCATAGTAGCTTGCAAACCACAATAGCTAGAGATACTTTGCTACAGGCACAGCCTGGCCTTTGCCAATTGTTCTCTCCTCTGCCTTTCCCTTGGTTTCCTGGGTACAGGGTGACTCAGGACACAGGCTTAAAACATCCCATCCAATTGTCAAATTGTTTCACATTTCATAAGCATTGGGCGTGGCTGCTTTTTCAAGTGAAATTAGAGGCAGAGATCACATTCTGATTGCATTTGTGCAAAGCAGAATGCCCATATTTTATTTCTGTCAACCAAACCTGTGAAGAGGCAGCAGAGGTATGTTCTGTGCTTGAAAGATTTGTTTTTTTGCTTTTTTTCACTGTGTTCTGGGAATGGAATGGGTGCCTTCTGCTTAAGAGAACTTTTCGCTTCATTGTTTGGGACTAAGTAAGCCTCAGTTGTCAGTTCAATTTCAGTCTATTGAGAGCTCTTCTCTTTTATTTTAATCTGGGAATTAGAGGGTTTAAATAACAAACAGGCACTCCCAATATTAATTAAAATTTGGATGGATTTGCATATAGAATCATGATTTCTTTAAGAGAAGCATAAGACACATACAATTTCTAAAACTACTACGGCTTTGCAAGTTGCAGTTATCTGTAATTTTATTTTTGGTCAATTTATCAGTTGCAGGACAGTTCTAACTAATTTCCTGTTGTTTATTTATGAAATAATGAGTACATATTCATTTGACGTTTTCAGAAGAACTCCTAAAAGGAGAACAGAAAAAACAAATTGTCTGGATTTGAATTAATGCATAAAATGTTCAATTCCATTTGGATTGAAGAACTTTTAATAGAGTGAATTATAGTTTAATCTTTCCCACATCATTTCAAGGAAGTACAGTACATGCAGGTTTGTTGGCAAAGTCAATTGCAAAGTAGCAAAGTTCCATTCCTTTTAAGCAGCTGGGTTGGGCTGCGTTCCTCGAATTATTCAAGGTGCTAGAAGTAAATCAAACAGAGGCTCTCTAGATTATGGGCAGATTGATTTTTCTTTCAGCCAACAAATGAAGTTTTGAAAAATTGGTAACTTCTTGCTAGAAAAGTTTTCCAAAATCTGGGAGGATGCAACAAGAAATTCATATCAAGAGCAATGTACCAACTTGCTTCAGCATGCTTTTAATTCCAAGAATTTATGTAGTCAGATTGTGGTAAATGCTAGCGTTGCACATAAATACAGGATCCTTCAGGATATATGTGTAACATTTCCTCCATTTGACACTGGAAATATGAGTGAGATATTCTGGCCCAGAGACAAAGATGCTAAAATTTGAATAGATAATTGTTTGAATGTGATTTGATGTCTCAAAATTTGTCCTGAATATCAGGTCTTCAGCAGAAATACTAGTTACAGCTATGGATTTGTAGAAAAGATGTGTAACGTAAAACAGATGTAATTAAATGAAATATACATTTATTAAATTTGTATGCTGCTTGGCTCCTAACAACTCTGGATGGCTCATCAATAAAGTAAATGCAACAAATGTAGATAACAAATCAAAAATGGCAAAGGTGACAAGAACTGGATAGAAATGAAAAAAGAAAAAACCTACTCAATCCAAGGGCCTCCACAAAGAGCCAGGTCTTCAAGTCCCTTCAAAATACCAGGCAGTTGGATGCCATCCAGATCTTGGGTGGAATCTAATTCCAGAGGACAGGGGTTGCTATCAGTTTCCAATGTTTTTTTTTCCAGCTTTACTTGAGTCCAAAAATTTGCACCAAAGCGCTGACATTTGAGATTATTTGTCCACCTGTACATTTTGACCTTTAAAATTTTTTATCTGCAAAATAAATATTTTTAATTTTTCAGCCTATAGATGGAAAGATAAATTGGGACAAAACATAGAAGCATATACAAATATTCATCTGAATAAGAGTTTTAAGAACAAGCCAAGAAAAATATTTTCCTAATGAGTCATTTAGGCCTTCTCCTATCTTCAGGGACAGACTGATAGTTAATTTGTTAAATTTTCCTTACAGGCATCATCCAAATACGTATACATTGTCAAAACACACAGGTCTATATAGACGACAAAAAGTTCATTGACTATAGGACAAGGCATGACAGAATCTGGGGTGAGGTCAAAAGAGGGATCAGTGTAGAATCCCTATGTAGTCATAAACTTACTAAGTCGAGCCCATCGTTAATTTTATTGACCCTTATCTAAGGTGCAGTTTAATGATCCAAAGAGCATCAGTGGCATCTTGCCATATTTAAACCAAGCAGGGAAACTAAAAGATAATTATTACTGATGATAAATTTATTTCTTTGTTTGCTTTTCTGGAGTGAACGTATATATTTACCTACGAAGAAGTATCTATTTGGAATAATGCCAGAATCACCCAGGATGCTTTGCTGCCTTTTTATGACTGGTGAGTATAATTATGCATGACTGCTATAAAATTGACATTAAATGCTTCCATGTGAAATTCTAATCCAGATTCTATTTTCTGATGTAGCAGCTTCTCCTCTGAGATATGTGCATGCTAATGTTAATTATGCATTTTAGAATTTAGAACAGGTCTCTAATCCTTTTTGCCATCATACCTCCCTTACCTCGCCTAAAAACACAAAATGAACACAAATGAACAATGAAAATGCAATGGAACTTTTAGGGAAAGTGGATTTATTGTAAAACTGTAGAGCTAAAAAGATTCTTCACACCTTTCCAGGTTTTGTCTGCAGCTCCCCGAAGGAGATCATCCTTGCTATTTGGGAAACCTACTTTAGAGGAAAGGAAGTTTTTATTCATGATTTGTGTGTTCCGAGTAAACCACTGAACACAATGTTATCAGAAAACACAAGAAGTAAATATTTAAGCAAGAGGTTTTGTTTATTATTCTCTAAAAAAATGGTATAGCAAACAATATTCCACAATTGGCTTGAGAAAGACAATCACTATAATTTTTCAATAAAATGTCTTTAAGACGAAACCCATGTCTTATATTTTAGGTTGTGCAATGATGCTCACTCCCAATGGTGCACTGAAATTCCTGGTAAGTATTGCATTTCTGTATGGTACTTATATTGCCTACAGACATCTATATTCTTCTGCAACCTGTTTAGGATCTAGACTCTTGATCTTTGGAGTCAGAGAACCAAACAATGAGAGGTATTTGATTGTATTTATTTATATATTTAAATTATGTATATGCCACCCATCTTAAACAGCTCTGAGCAGCTCAGAACAACAATAAAACCAGTGACTATACAGAGAAAGAATCAGAGAAAAAATACCCTTAATCATTCTCTTAGGATGCCTCATAGGAAGCTCCATTATCTTCATTCCATTTTTTCCCATCCCACCCCACCCCAAAGCAGATCTTGATGTCTATGGAGATTCCCAATCATCCAGGTCATGGTTGTCCCAAAGGTGCTTTACCAAAAGGCAACTGGACTTTCTGTTTTTTTCCTTGCAAATGTTTCACCTCACATCTAAGAAGCTTCTTCAGAAGAAACCTCTTGGATGAGAAGCAAAACATTTTCAAGGAAAAAAACGAGAAAGTCCAGTTGCCTTTTGATAAAGCACCTTTGGGACAGGTCTTGATGGTCTCCTGAAAGGGTAGGGAGTGGAGACCTGCCCAATTGCTGGGCAGAGGGTATTGCAAAAGGTAGGGGCAGCCACAGAAAAAGCACACTTCCAAGGTTCCACTAATTGGCAGGATTTCAGGGAAGGGATCTGAAATGCGCCTACCCTTTCTGATCTACTAAACAAGTGGATAATCTTAGGGAGGGGCAGCCCCACAAATAACCATGACCTCTGCCATTCAGGACTGTAAAGGTGTTAATCAGTGCCTTGATTTGAACCCAGAAGGAAACTAGGAGACAGTGCAGCTCACACAATAGAGATATAACATGGGCAAATCTATGAATACCCTGCTGTATTCTGGACCAGGTCCATAACATAGGTGGCTGAGCTAACAGTCACAAAGATTCTGTTGATGTCCTCAGGATCAACTGGCTCAAACTCCTTACAGATAACGGGGCTCAGATATGTCTCAGTCATTTGCAAAGGATCAGCCAGACAGAGTCCTACTTCAAGCAAACAATTTAATTGATGAGACAGAAAGTGGAAGAATATTTTTAAACAGTTGTGTGTTTATGATTACTGTAAAACTTGGTCTTAGAGCCGAGGTGGCGCAGTGGTTAGGGTGCAGTACTGCAGGCCACTTTAGCTGACTGTGATCTGCAGCTCAGCGGTTCAAATCTCACCAGGCTCAAGGTCGACTCAGCCTTCCATCCTTCCGAGGTGGCTGAAATGAGGATCCGGACTGTGGGGGGACAATATGCTGACCTTGTAAACTGCTCAGGGGATGGCTGAAAGCCCTATGAAGCGGTATATAAGTCTAATTAATAAATAATAAATAAATAAATAAATAAATTACTTCAAACCGTTGCTCAGATCTATTAGTATTAAATTAATTTGTTTTTCACCATCTCAAATCAATACTTTATTCTTATAGGAAATTGAATTAACTGAATAAAATAATTAAATTGAAATTGTTTTATTTAATTATTGTCCATGTTTTATTTTTTGCTTAATTTTTGATAAAAAAATTTTTTTAGAATACCTCTGGCCTGGTGATCAGCAAAGAAGAGGCCAGAATTTCAAACCATTTGGTCTGTGAGATGTCTGGAGATTCCATTGCAGCAACTGGTGAAAAATTTCTAAAACAATTAAGTCAGTGCCAGCACCTGACTCCAGATCAAATTAAAGCAATTCAACAAATCTTCAGCAATGGAAATACTTCATTTGGGTAGGACCAGTTTTTAATTTGGGGCAGTTTTCTGAAAAGAGATTATTTCTTACCTATTTTGGCTGGCCTTGGAATTAAGCCTCTTTTTCATGTGTATATGTGAATGTAAATTACACAGTTGCCTTGTCAATGTGGTCCAAAGTTACAAAAGCTATATATTTGCAAACCAGAACCTCCAGTAGGTTCTTTCCTTCCTTCTTTGGTGTTCTTACTCACTTCTTGGCTTTTGTCTCTCTGACTAAGAGGCCTGGCCCTAAACTGTTTTAAGACCACACTTACACACAGTAGTGCTTGGATAATGTTGAAGTGTTTTGCCCAAGTCTTTGTTTGGCACTGCCTGGAAATGCCAGAGGTTGTCCTTGAACTCTAAATAGAACACCTGCTCTACACAAAATGATGAATCTTGAAGTTTTAGTATTTAGTATTTGTTTTTTTTTTAAAAGATGATCAGGTGGCTGGGTGAGCACATTCTTTTTGCTTTGTTGCTATTTTGCATTGTCCTACTAGGCAACATTTTTTTCAACTTTCAGTTGACTAAAAGCCCTTAGGTTTCATGGTGGCTTTCTATTCAAGGACACCCAGGCCTAACAGAGGCATCTTTTAAAAAATCTCAGCTAAGGTTGGCTGCCATAGCATGATGGAAACTGGAGATTTTCAAATGTAAACGGTGAAGCATATTGTAGTAAATGAAAGATAGTAAATGTTTCATTTAGTATCAAATCATCCTGCATAAATATCATGTACAACTATTCTTCTACAATATCTTAGTACTTAGTATTTTTTAAAGATTTTTATTAACAAATATGTAAAATACACACACACAAAATTTAGACGTACACCACATTTATACAATACAATACGAA